TTATCAGCAAGAAAGATTTGCTCTAAGCCATTGGCAAGCAGGTCTGGAGGAAGTAAACGAGGTTGATAATGGTGTAAACCACTTTATTTTAGATTGCTATTGGAGTTGTACATTGGGACTATCTTCACTTTGAAGCAGGTTATACAGAGGTCTATTGATAAAAGGAAATAGCTCTGCTCCTCTTTAGTGCAATTGCAAAAGATTTTTGAATGAATCTGAAAGGAAAACGAGCTTTTGTGAAAGACTAGTAGATATTCGATCAATCCAAAGTGTGAGGCACTAAGCAGATAGAGAACCATTTTTCTTTCTCTGTGGAGTTCTCTATAACCTACCTTAAAGTGAAGACAGTCCCAATTTGCAACTTATGCTCCAATGTGCAACTTGAGTTTCTCAATCCATATTGCTCAGACAATCGACAATATTTCTTATTTTAGCTTCTACGATTCTTGAGTAGACTGTCTTTGGTACTATAAACAGTAAGTAATCTCGAATAACATTTCCTAGTATCTCATTTCCTGTAAAGGGACAAAACTACAGTCCTTTCATATCATTTTCTAATACATTTGTAGCCTTTGTACGCACAGCATTTCGGGTTACTTCGTCCAGACCAGCTGACTTGCCAATTGCCTAGAACAAATCTTTCTTGCTGATGAAATGGTCTTCACCATAATAAACCTGCTTAATATCATCCAAACTGATCCAGCATTTTTACCCCCATTTAGCAGAATCTAGAAATATTCTGTTCATTTGTCTACTATATATTCGTTTAGCCATATAATGGATACTTATCCTTGTTTTCTTTTCCGAAATTTTGGCACTGTCGTTCGCTTAATGTATTTTTCCAATGTTTGGGTTCAATTTCGCGTTTTCCCTCATTTTGAGACCAAATACTAACAATCAGTTCCAGTTACATAGAAGAACTTATAGCTTCGCCCTTTCCATATTTCATTTGTGCAGAGGGAATAATGCACTTTAATATTAAAAGTTCCTATTTTTTATGATATGGTCCAACTTTCGAATAAAATAAAGGAAATAAAAATGTTTTTTTTAATAGCGATATAACAATTTTACTAAACAATCCATCACCTATTCATTAAAAGCAGTTCAGATTAGGTATATATTATTTTAGTTTATAAAACAGATATTAATATGACTCATTTCCAGGGAAGTATATACAATTTAAATTACCTCTAAGAATCAGTAAATATATAAAACAAAATGTTAAATTGCAAATATTAAATAAAAAAATCAAGATATTCTGCAAAGTATTTTTGAATTAAGTTTTATTATTATAATTTTATAATTTTTATAATAGAGGTCTTCTTAAGCGATCTCCGTATAGAATAAATGAAGTTAAATTAAAAAAAAAAATAATGAAAAATAAAAACAAAAATAATAAATTTAAAAAAAAAATAATTTTTTACAATTAAATTATTGTATTAATATTTATTCGTTAATATAATCAATAAAGTATAACAAAAACGTTATTATAGCACTATAACTAAGCCATTTATGAGTACTGAGTGGTGTGGTAGAGGCCTGTAGGCACCCACGCCAGTAGCGCTTTTCTGCCGCTTAAGTACATTTTATACGAAACTACTTCAAATATTTTAAAAAGTAATCAGTGTTTTAGAAAGAGAAATGTATTCTTCAGATGTTTTATTTCAGCACATTTTGCATTATTGTTGACCGTTTAATTACAAACGACGCTTGATTTTCAACTCGAAAATTTTTTTGTAAAAAAAATTGACTTTACCGATTTTTTTTAATGCCTAAGCCAATTAGTTTTTAATATTTTTTCATGTTTTATTATTCTCTGACTATCCAGCTTTAATAAAAGACCAACTATAATGAAATTAAGCCAAATGCTGATTCTCAGTAACAAAAAAACTAACTAAAGTCAAAGTCGTCAATCCGCCATGTTTGGACGCCATTTTGGGGCAGTTCGTTCACTTTTTTTGTGTGGGAACATTGGCTTTTTTTTAATAAATTGTCACAAGGAACACAACGATATGCAATTTATAGGGATGTGGGGGGGTGCACGGTAAGGGGGTCTGGCCCACAGACTATTTGGACTTGCGGACTAGAACTGTGGGAAACAGCAAAATTTTCTAACATCAAACGCATCCAATCAAAACTACAATATACGGTAAAAATTGAAATAAAGTTCCAACAACAATTAATTTATAACATGTATGTGTATTAATATGTGATGTATTCAAATTGATTAGACCAGCTTATTGTAACTTTTCTTGTATACTTGATTTATTTTAAGAGTATAAACTGATCTTTATTTAACAATCGTCAGTTCTTTTCGTTAATCGAATATGAATATAGGTGTTCTCCTCAATTACAATATTGAAAATTGAAAAACATGAAATCCATAATCCTTTCTTCCTTCACACTATGCCAAAATTTTCACTATTTGTTAACCTGTTGATTTTATCTCATAAGTTTGCAGCCTTTCTTGAAGTTCCAAAGTCAAGATTGCCTGCAATAAAAACCACTCTCCCAATCTCATTTGCTTAAAAATATTTTGGTTAGCTTAAACTAGCCTATTCTAAGAGAAAAATATTTTGTTTCCGGTCTCTTTAATCACCGGTTAATTCGGAGAACCGATTAAGCGGGATCGAATTGTATATATTTTATAGAAAAAATAGTTGTGATTAAGATAGTATCAAAAATATTTGATAAAATAAAAAAAATGGTCACAGTGGTCTGTGAGCGGTAAAAGCCCCTATTTTCAAGGTGTTATGATAATTCAAATTTCTATATTATAAATGTTTGACATAGTTAACTCATATATTCCTAAAGTTTCGGAACTGTAGTAGATAGCTCCAGTATTTACTCATTTATGTGGCATTGTGTGAGGGAATGAGAAGTAATATATAGGAATGTGAGATTGCACGATGAATTGTACTCAATTGTGCAGAGGACAAATTATTCACTGAAAAGTCTGATATCGATAAACAATCGACGAAGGAGGTTGAAGCAGGTAGCAACAGCTGGAGAAGGACGCTGGAGGGAAGAGAACTCACTCTAGGCCTGGACAGGAAGAAAGGAGGTTGTCAGAAGAGGGAGGCACTGCACTGAATACTAAGAAGATCAAGCCTAAAGTTATAAGCCTTTAATATATTCACTTGTTACAGTTGTGAAATAAATTATTTTGTTAGACAGGAGTGAAAAGTAATTTATTTATCTAGTTGTCCTATATGCCTCACAATTGAAGAATAATAAACCAGGTGAGTCAATTCATTCAAAATGTATTTATTTACTCAGTCCAACATTATATATATGATTATTATTTCTTGTCACTCAGTGTCACAAATGTATTAGGTTCCCCAATTCCCAACGACAGTTAAACACCCTTAAAAAGTCTACATCCAGTGCTGGGGTTTTGTTTTAAGAAAATTAAAATCACGAGTGTAAATAACCTAGTTCCCGATAAAATAGAAAGGAATATTTACTATTCCCGCCAAAAGTAATATTTACATTAAAACTCCTAATAGATTATTTACAGAACGAATAAGAATTCCAGTTTCCAAGATTTTCAATGAAATATAAATAAAAAGCCAGTTTCTACCACATCAATAATGCAACATGTTTTTAATCATAATATATATTTTAGGCATGTTGCTGAATTCTTCAACATATTGTTTGTTGTGTAATTTGTTGAAATGAGCGAAGGAGCTCTTAAATACGTTTTTTATAAATTCATATATTTGTTATTTTCATTGGATAAGTTATTACTCAACGGATCCTGGAATTTCGTTTTTTTATCAGAAGTACCTCGCGCCAACAGCCGCCAAGTTGTCTTGCTGTAATAAAAATGTTCTTTGAACCATCTGCTAATGATGAATGCAAAAATCAGGTGCGGTAATTTGAGGTTTTGGTAATTATCTGGCAAATTCAGTCAAGAAACTTATACCAAAAACGAGCAAGAAAAATTGCTTCCTGTATCTAAATAAATTTAGAACTAATACAATTTATTCAATTCCGACATAGAAAACTGAAGGAAAAGTATAAAAATGAAAGAAAATACAAAGGAAAAGATTGAACAGAAATTCAAACAATTTCGTGACTCATAATTGACACTGGGGCACTGTTTTCAACACACTACCCGGTATTTGGTTTTATCTTTATTTACTTGTAGGTTGATTTGCTCATCTTCTGTTACCGCTATGTCCTCTTGATGGTAATATAGATAATAGATATTTATAATCAGTCAACAACCTTAGACAGTAAATTTTCACTTTTACAACATATATGCAAAAGATATTTTATTTATAGTTGAAAAACAAAATAATAATATATAATAATAACGGTTGGTCTCACCAAAATGGTTTTACAGTATATTAATTCAGAATTCCCGACATGCTCAAATAAATTCTTGGTTTTTGACGTTTTTCGAACACTTTGCGCCGCCCGGATTACTTCCCGCTCATTCACAACTTATCAGGTACAGGTACAGAAATCGCGGCATTGTTTGAATGTGGGTTGTATTATCGGCTAAGTTGGATTTTTAAATTATATACTTTGCGAATTTTGTGCTCTCTTTAAATGGCACCCTGGGCACAAGCCCTAACTACTGTATGTAACTTACCGAGTACAGTTAGTTCAAAGAAATTGTATTTTTTTAAATAGTTAGCCGAACTCTAAGGGCAAGTTATACAATTGGAGTTCAAGCTTGAACTTGACTTGGACTCCAATTGTACAACTGGCCCTTAGCTACCAATTTTGTTTCCTTGGTAATCTCTCTGTAAACAATATCACAATATATTTTTTTTAAACCTGCGACTTAAATATTTGTACATCTAATAACCAAGTTTCAGAAAAACATAGTATTTGGAAACCATTTAAAATAATTATTTATTTTTTCGTAACCATAAATATAACTAAACATTGAATGAAGTAGTTAGTAATTTATCCACTGGGGAAATAACTGGTGAAGTTCCGGTGTTTGAAAAGTTCTAGCTATGGTTACATATTATGGTGTAGACCTAGGCAATTTCAAATAAATCCTCTATTGTTATTTTTTTCTCAGCCTTAAAGTTTAATTAAATTCCGCAATATTTATAACAATCCCAGATCAATTATTATAGAACGAATGTTAAGAAGAAATGCAAAAAAATACTCATGTAGTACAAACAATTAGTTGTTGAAAGTGTTCCATATAAAACAATTGATAAATATAATCAGCTGAAGATACCTGCGGATCGAGGCCGGCCAGGGAAGCGTACGCTATCGACTGCGGAATGAGCATGAGGCCTACTGTGATTCCAGCTACAATGTCTGGCAGCACATCCTTTTTGCTGTACTTCCTAAATCTTTCGATGATCGGAAACCGTGTGTTGAGGATTCGGTGAACATCTTTCATCAGCATCATTTGACAGAATCTGAAAAAGTGATTAAGCATTCAATAGTTTTTTAAAAAATTATATTTTATTTATTTATATTTATTAATTAATGTTATTCTTTAATTAAAACATTTTTTTTATTTTCACGTCTTTACTCTTTAAAATCCTAGGGGGGTACGGTTAACGGTGGACCAAGCCTCGTTTTACAAATTATAAAACTGTTCATTTAATTTATTTTATATTAAATTAATTATTATACAAAGTTCATTTAATTTTACTACTCGTAGCTCAAATTGTATAACTTTATTTGTTTAAATGAAACTATTTATAATAATATAAAGTAAGGCTGTTTTTATTTCACCACATTTATTCGCATTTTACATAGTCTACGTCTCGGCAAGCATACCATTTGATTTAACCATGCTTCTTAATGTAAAATAAATTATTGTAAAATGAAAATAAATTTGGTGAAATAAAAACATATCCTCACTTTATAAAATTGAATAACTTTAATTTATATGTAGTTCAGATTTTATTATTTTTTATCAACATAAAATAATCTGAAAGAAATCACAGTTAGGACAAATTTTTAATTTCTTTAAAAATCTATATTATACATCGCGCCTTATTGCCAATTTATATTATTATAATTATTCTTATTGCCAATTCGTAACCATAATATATATTCAAGTTGTCCAGTTTATAAGCCCAACAATAATTTGAGCCTTTTATTTCTAATATTTTCATTGTACGTTATATTTTCCTTCCTTTTCTATTTCGTAATAATTATAATTATATCACAATATAATATAAATAATATTATATATAATATAATAACTAATATATTGTATTCAAAGAGACAATGTCTATATAAAAAAATAACTTCTGTTAGCTAGGTAAATCAAACTACCATCTCCAGATAAATAAATAACATTTTCATTAACATTTTTATTCTGAAATATTTATTTTGTATTAGGGCAGTATTAGATAACAGAAGCTCAACACATGTGTTGTAGAATAGTAATAAATTAAAGAATACATAAATAAATTAAAAGACAATTAGTACACATATTTAGTAAACAGTATATTCAGTACAACAATAAGAAGGCTATATATCTAAAATATAACATAATGTTCAATGCATTAGTGTTGCCATTATGCTACATCCTTTCCCGAGGAGGCAAATAATAGTCTTTCAATCGTTCTGGAGGCTTCTCGGATCTTGAAGGACTTGAAATGCAAATAGGAGGTCTTGGAGGTTCTTGGTTAGAATCCGCAGAGCATTTGCGTAAGCGAACCCCTGTTTGTTTTGATAGTCTCGTGTTTCCACTTCAAAGTTTATCTCTACAGGTTTGACATTTGGCAAATACCCAACAGTAAAGGTATGTTAAAACATTAGACTAGTAGGGCAGACACCAGTAGTTACATGGAGTGTGGTGCAATAATTCATTAAATGGGCGTTCAGTTCTTCTAGCTAATTCTTCTTTACCACAATAGCCGTCTGCGCTGTTTTTTTTTTTTGTTTTTTTAGCGTCCTAAAGAATCTCTCTGACATGCCATTGGCTTTAGGCCGATATGGTGTAACATTCCTGGTCCTCACTCCACAGCTGACAGGAAAATTAGCATAACCCTTACTATTTAACGTTGCCCCATTGTCTGATTTAAGAACTTCAGGGACCCCAAACTCAAAGAACGATCTGCGTAAGATCTTTAAAGTTGATGAGGTTGAAATCGGAAAAACTAAATCCACTAAGGAAAAAGAGAATGCTCGTCTATCCCAGCCAAAATATATTTAACATCAGGAAAAGGGCCCGCAAAATCGATTGAAAGTTTAGACCAAGGCATGGCGGGTAAAGGAATAGCCTGGATTAAGTACCTCTGCTTGCCTGGAGTAATAGCCAGATAAGGTAAGCATCTTGGCTTCAACACAGAATCCATCCCAGAATGACCCCGGGGAGCCAAGCTGAAGACTTTTTTCTGTATAGACAATGGCAGAAGGATACGATTACCCCACAGTAAAATGCCATCTTCAGTCACGCTTATGACCGGCAAGACATGCCTATATGGCTGAAGAGCAACATCAGTTTTAGACTGGCTTGGAGATTGCAAACTAGATTTTAGCAAATTCAGCCTAGGCGTGGTTTCTCTATTTGAACCCTAAACATCTAGCAATGGATTGTGGTCCGTTACAATTCTGAAATGATCGCTCAGTAGGTAGAGGCGGTACCGCTCCACAGCCTAGCGCACGGGTAGGCATCTCCTTACTAATCTGGGATTACCCCTTTTCACCCTTGGTGATTGATCGACGTCCATAAGCAACAACAGCGGATGTATTGTCTTTGGGTTGGACCAATATTACACCCACACAATTCGAACCTGCATCGACAATTAGTTCAGTTGCGTGGATAGGATCAAAGTATTCGTTGGACAAATTATTTTTCAAAATCACCTTGTTTTATCACCTTCAGATTATTATTGTTCTTTCTTTCCCCACGACCAAAGTGTTTTGTTTTCAATCAAGATATAGAAGAAAGGTTTGGGGCAAATCTGCCACTGTACCCAGAAAACTATGGACCTCGTCCTTGCTGGAGGGATCAACAAGCTTTTCTACGCCCTCGATCTTCCTCGGATCTGCTCGAAGTCCCTTGCCTAAAAACTCAAAGCCAAAAATTAAAATGTTTTCTGCAGAAAACTGTCATTTTTCCTTGTTATGGTCAAACCTGCATCTGCAAGGAACACTTCCTTCCATCTTCCAAAAACCAAAACGTCACAGCTAACATTCTATCACTAACGTTCACAGCATTCTTGACAGGTACAACGAGTTGACGAACGGTATCTTGGAAAACCTCTGGTGCCGATGTGATACCTAAAAATAAGCGCTTACAGAGCCATAAACCATTGTGAGTGTAAGATGTGGTAATCCCTCGTACCGACTAACTAAGCTCAATTTGGTGAAACCAATAGTTTTTTTGTCTTTTTGAGAAGTGGATAATCCTGTAGGAAGTTATAGATGTCTGCACCAGTGACATTCACAGAACATCTAGTGTCTATTACAACTTTAAGCGTGCGCCCCAAAAGCTCAATTTTGGTTTTGGGACTGGCTGATTTCTTTTCTTCTGTTACGGGATTGCAGTGTTCGTCAAACGAGGAATTATAAGAGTCATAGAACGAATCGGACGATTCGCTACCAACATGATGAATGCTCTTTTTATTTTTCTTGCACATCTTTTCCAAATGGTTTCATTGGATGTTGATGGTCTATGGCCTCACACGGATATTTTCGTGAGGCCAATTTTTCTCACAAGCAAAGTGGGAAATTTAACAGAATTTTTTTGAAGAGTCTCCATAAGAGTGCCTACTAAATGTTGCATAGTAATTTCAAAATTTAATCTGTCTTTTAATTCACATGTGGAGGAAAGAGGCCGCAATCGGGCATACTATTCAGACAATGATTTATTAGAAAGCTGACGGGCTTTTCTAAATTTATTTCTTAGAATAATTTTTTTTGGGTCAAAAATTCTGTCCATGCAGCCAATAGATACGCATATGACGTGGTTATGTTCCCAAAATTATCGTAAATATCACTCATCTCATTTCTAGCAACATTGAGCAGCAGAGCTTTTTTCCTGACATCCTCCGTAATACAGTGACAACATATCACTCGAAATTTTTTGCTCACTTCATCCAATGGGGACCGACCGAAGAGGGCTCAGAATGAAGATCGAATGGGGGAGATTTATTGGTTTCGATCGATGACATTATAACCGAAACACTTAAAGGAACTTGACACAAACGCTCACTTCCGTCGTCGCCAATGTAGAATAGTAATTACATACATAAATAAATTATAAAACAATTAATACACATACTTAGTAACCAGTACATTCAGTAAAACATCAATAAAAAGGTTATATATCCAAAATATAACGTAATGCTCAATGCACCAGTGTTGCCAGTATGCTACATATGTAATTAAATAAACAGTTGTGTAATTGTTGCTAATTATAGAGCTAACAGGAAAGCTCATGCAACCTCCTACTCTCCTAATACTAAAATAAAATGAAATATGATATACACTAAGAACTTTTTTTATTTAGCAGAGATATTAACAATTCATTTTCATAACATATAATCACATGATATCATTTCAAATCAATTAATAATCGAAATACTTAAACTATAATGTAATTTTTTTCAGTATTTTGAGCTCAAATTGTTTCAAAACATTCACGGGATCTGTCATTTTTTTTAAAACTTTTTTACTGAAAATTACTACAATCTGTCTCAAAGGACATCTCAGTAATTACAGCAATTAAAATTAAAAATCGATCATATCATCTAATAATTTATATAATGTTAGAATTTTTATAAGTTAGTTTTTGGCCAGATTTGATTTTATTTTGTATTAATTCATCATTGTTCTTCTAAGGGGACTTAGTCCCAGAATAAAGTTCAATTTTCTATTCTATTCTAAATAAAAAAATCTTTAGGTACCACAGCGCGTATTGATGAAACACACTTTACACAGTAATTTAAAAGAATTTTTAACTCAAATTATTTCAAAACAAGCTCGGAATCTCACCGAATAATTTCAGGTACTTAAAATTAAACTTAAAAATCAATCCAGCCGTTCCACGTTAGGGCGAATTACCAAGCTAGGTGGAAAAATTTAATGGTGAAATTTTTCAAATCCAATGTAATAAGATAGAACGGGAATGTTTAATTAGAAGATAATCAAAATTGTTTTGATATTAGCGGTTGCAAACGATAAATACAACCCCTTAAACAAGTACTGATTTGATGGCTCATGTTTTGTTCAATTGTCATATCTTTCATTTGAGCTCAGTACCACAAGCTAATTTTTTTTTTACAATAATACCTGTTATTTGATAGGTAATAAAGTCCTTTATAACTTAAATTAAGTAAAATAAAGTACTCTTATAACTTCAAAATTAATTTACTAAAATGTACCCCAAAATATCCCAGTAAAATTTGTCTCAAACGTTAATGAGTAGGAGTTATATTACAGAAAAATTAAAGAGTTTATTGCCTTTTGAGACATTATTTTATATTATTTTGAAGAATATTCTAATAAAATAAGAGTTTTATTTGGGATTTGAAAAAATTCCTTCTGATTTCAATGTCAATTAATGTTATCGAGCAACGTAAACATCTGTCTTTTGCTGGGTTGAGAAATTATCTTAAATTGGCAGTGGCAAAAATTAAAACCCAATGGAAAGAATTTGTTAAATTAGTCTTTAAACATAATTTTTGGTTTTACAATACAATAAAATTCGAGTGTTTGTAGTGAAGAAACTTCGCTAAATATTTCTTCTTTGAATAGTGGTAGCCCTGTTAAACGATTCGAAGACTGCTATACTCGAGGTAAAATCAATAAAGTTAAAGATGTAATCGATAAGCGAAAGAAGTTTTAGTTAAGTCACCACGTAGAAATATTGGATCGAACCTAAGTAGTATTTTAAATAAACTACAAAATCAAATATATTTTTCTTATTTAGCATTTTAAGAAGATAAATATACAATACGTTTTTTTCTTAAATTATCCTGTTTTTAACTTATAAAATACAAAAAAGTATTTTTTTTTTCCTTCATTTATACTAAAATACAAAAAATACATTCTGTTTTGTAATTGAAATGCACAAAATAAATTATCGAATTGAACAGGTCCTTTTAATTATTAAAAGATAAATGGTATCAAGTCAGGTCGTTTGCATGAGAATTGTTCCATCTGAAATTTATAATTTATAAAGATGCAAATTCTTTTGATAAATCATATTATAAAGGAAGGATTTTTTAAATAGATTATTGAAGGTATACAAAAAAAATTACACTTAACAGTCAGGGTAGGTCTAAAGCAAGATTAGAATGTTCCTAAATAGAACAGAAATAAAACATTATAAGAAAAATGACAACATAGAAGAATTATGGATGACATATAGGACAATATTTAGGAATATTGTTCTTGTCCTACCCTCCCTTTTAGTTTAGGCTATATGGAGTTTTCCCAGACCAGGAGGTAAGGGCTGGGAAATTAATGCCAGAATTAAAAGCATAGGAACAATAGGAAATAGAACATAACTCAAGGCGAACCAAAACATTTAATATATAAGTGAAAAACATGAATAGTAAAAAAATTTACCCCAGGAGGGAGATTTAATTTTTTTCGCACACTTTCAAGAAACTATTGAAATTCTTATACAGGGTATCCCGTATGTAGAGGGAAATATTTAAAATGTAGATAGTACACATCAAGAGCTACTATGTACTGGATTGCAGCGTTCGTCAAATGAGGAATTATACGTGTAACAGAACGAACCGGAACAACTTCCTGGTCTTTTTAGTTTTTCGGTCACCGAGAATCAACATTTGGCTTAATTCGTTGGTCTTTTATTAAAGCTGGATAGTCAGACAATAGGAAAACATGAAAAGATATTAAAAAATAATTGGTTTAGGCAATAAAAAACACCAGTAAAGTCAATTTTTTCGAGAAAAAAAATTTCGAGTTGAAAATCAAGCGTCATTTGTAATTAAACGGCCAACAATAACGCAAAACGTGCTGAAATAACACATCTGGGGAATATATTTCTCTTTCTAAATCACTGATTACTTTTTAAAATATTTGAAGCGGTTCCGTATAAAATGCACTTAAGCGGCAGAAAAGCGGTACTGGCGTGGGTGGCTACAGGGCTCTACAACACCAGAAGTTGGACCATATAAAAAATAGGATATTTTAATATTGAATGCATTATTCTTTCTGCACAAATAAAGATGGAAAGGGCAAAGCTACAAGTTCTTCTAGGTAACCGGAACTGATTGTTAGTATTTGATTAGTATTAAATTGAACCCCAAAATTGGAAAAATACATTAAGCGAACGAGAAAGTAAGTGGTAAAATCTCAGAAAAGAAAACAAGGGTCAGCATCAATTATATGGCTAAACGAATATATAGTAGATAGATAAACATAAGATGCAGCGAAAAAGGGGTCAAATGTTGGAGAAGTTTGGATGATCTTAAGGGGACGATGCAGGTTTATTATGATGAGGACCATTTTATCAGCAACAAAGATTTGTTCGAAGCAATTGACAAGTCTGCTGTGGTCTGGACAAAGTAAAACGAACTGCTTCGCACTGTTTTGCGCGTACATATTCAATAAATGTATTAGAAAATTACATGAAAGTATTGTAGTTTTGTTCCTTTATAAGAAAGGAGATACTAGGAAATTAAATATCCATCGATATTCATTCTCACGATACCTAACTCACTCAAGAATCGCAGAATTGCAGCTACTTTTTTCGAAGTAATTGGCAAGTCAGCTGTGGTCTGGACGAAGTAAATGAGGTTTATTATGGTGGAAACCACTTTATTTTCAATTGCTACTTAAATTGCACATTGGGACTATCTTCATTTTGAAGTAGGTTGGAGAGAGGTTTATCGAGAAAGATAAATAGCCTTCCTTCTGTTTAGTGCATTTGCAGAAGATTTTTGAAGGAATCTGAAAGGAAAACGAGCTTTTCTGAAATACTAGTAGATATTAGCACAAGTGGCACTAAGCAGATAGAGAACTATTTTTCTTTCTTGATGCATTTCATTACAACCTACCTTAAAGTGAAGACAGTCCCAATGTGCAACTTGAGTTTTCCAATCCATACCGCTCTGGCAATCGACAATATTTCTTATTCTAACTTCTGCGATTCTTGAGTAGAGTTTCTTAGGTGCACTAAACAGGAATGAATCTCGATCGATATTAAATTTCCTAGTATCTCCTCTTACAAAGGAGCAAAAATACAGTCCTTTCATATAATTTTCTAATACATTTGTAACGATTGTACGCGCTTTTTGGGTTACTTCGTCCAAACAAGCTCACTTGCCAATTGCTTCGAACAAATCTTTGTTGCTGATAAAATGGTCCTCACCATAATAAACCTGCAGCGTCCCCTTAAGATCATCCAAACTGCTCCAGCATTTGACCCCTTTTTCGCTGCATCTTGAAATATTCTGTTCATCTATCTACTATATATTCGTTTAGCCATATAATTGATACTGATCCTTGTTTTCTTTTCTGAGATTTTACTGCTTACTTTCTCGTTCGCTTAATGTATTTTTCCAATTTTTGGGTTCAATTTCGCGTTTTCACTCATTTTGATACCAAATACTAACAATCAGTTCAGGTTACCTAGAAGAACTTATAGCTTCGCCCTTTCCAT